GTAGGGGGGGGAGGAGGAGGAGGAGGAGGAGGAGGAGGAGGAGGGGGAGGAGGAGGAGGATGGAGGACCGAGGACGAGAAACAGCAGGGAGGAGGAGAGAGGATGTCGGGAGGAGCATAGAGGATGAGGGAGGAACAGCAGGGAGCAGGGAACAGGGCGCGGGAGGATGCTTGCTCCCACCAGGAACACGTTCCTCGTCCTCCCCAGCAGGCTCCCAGCGCCGCGCTGGTTGGCGGCCCCGAGAAGTCGCCCGAGATCCTGGCGCCCATGTCGGCGTCGAGGAAGATGGCAGGTCCGTTGGGAACGAGGGGTGGGAAGGATGAGGGGGATGACGACGAGGACGACGACGGCGACGGCGACGGCGACGACGACGACGACGACGACGACGATGATGATGATGATGATGATGGTGATGATGATGATAATGATGATATATGATGTTGATTAGGAATGTGAGGAGGATGATTAGGAACATTATGAGGATGATAATCATGATGATGATGGTGGTGGTGATGATGATGGTGGATGCTGCTGATGATCTGATGCTGATGATGAGGGTGATGATGAGGATGATGATGAGGCTTATGATGAGGATGATGGTCATGCTAATGATGGTGTTGGTGATGTTGTTGATGGTGATGATGATGTTGATGCTGATGGTGATGATGCTGACGATGGTAATGCTGTTGACGATGATTTTGATGATGACGATGATATGTTGAAGATGATGATGACGATGATGATGATGATGATGATGATGATGGGGATGATGATGCTGATGATGATGATGCTGATGATGATGCTGATGATGATGATGATAATGGTGATGTTGATGATCACAATGATGACGATGATGATGCTGATGATGATGATGATGATGATGATGGTGGTGATGATGATGATGATGATGATGCTGATGATGCTGACGATGATGATGCTGATGATGATCATGGTCATGATGATGAGGATGGGGGAGGATGTCGGTTACGACGACGATGCTGAGGCTAAGGTTAATGCTGATGCTGATAATGATGCTGATGATGATGCTGGTGCTGCTGCTGATGATGATGATGATGGTGGTGGTGGCCGTGATGATGATGGCTGTGTTGATACGTTTGCTGCTGCTGCTGCTAATGCTGCTTCTGATCATGATGGTGATGATGCTGATGACGATGATGACGATATTGATGATGATGATGATGATGATGATGATGATGATGATGATGATGATGATGATGATGATTATGATGATGATGATGATGATGATGATGATGATGATGCTGATGACGATGATGATGATGATGGTGGTGGTGGTGGTGGTGGTGATGATGACGATGATGATGCTGATGGTGATGGTGATGATGATGATGATGTTGATGACGATGACGATGATGATGATGATGATGATGAGGAGGCGGAGGAGGATGAGGATGATGAGGATGATGATGCTGCTGATGATGATGATGGTGGTGATGCTGATGAAGACGATGATCATAATGACAATGATGCTGCTGCTGATGCTGATCATAATGATGATGTTGTTGATGATGATGATGATGATGATGATGATGATGATGATGATGATGATGATGATGATGATGATGATCATGCTGACATGATGATGCTGAGGATGATGATATGATGATGCTGATGATGATGCTGCTGATGATGATGTTGGTGATGCTGATGATGCTGACGATTGTTGATCGTCTGGGGCCGTTTGGACCACGTTGGCTGCAAACACGGCCAAACACAGTACTATGTCGAACCTATATCGTTCAACAATCGATCCAGATTCGGTGACATCTTATTCTTGTGCTCTGCTGGACGGTGCCGCCAGATACTTCGGGCCCCCCAGGCACACGGCAGGTTCGGCCAGCTTTCCTCTCCAGGCTAGTGTCCACTTCGTGTGCTTGCCCGTTGGACGGCGGTGCACGTTGCGGATTATCCCTTCACTTGGTTGTTGTTTCACGGGTTAGCATTGTCGTTGCGCTGCGGTAGAGACCATAGGTTCAGCCCTTAGGACCCGGTTAATAGGAGGGAGGAAGAGGAACATGCAGCGCGAGGCGGGCATGAACCAGAGCGAGGGCGACATCCGATGTTTCGTTTTCTTCCATACGGCGCCCCCAGAAGATCCGACCCTCTCGCAGGGGCCACTTCTTCACCCTGAGCCGCTTCTTGACGGCCCTGGGGCCCAGCGAGGGCCCCCAGGGGCCGAAAACTGTCCACAGCCTCCCGAGGGGGGGGAGGCAGAGGGGCGCAGGCATGTACCTGTCCTACGTGGCGAGCCTGATGGTCTGCATGCCCGGCAGCAGCGCGTTCGACTACACCGCCGGCTACGCCTTCGGCTTCCGCAAGGGCGTCGCCTTCGTGGCGCTGTCGAAGGGCACCGCGGCGCTGCTGACCTTCGCCCTGGTGCGCACGCTGCGGGACACGAGGGTAGTGGTGCACCTCAGGACGCGGGCCGAGCGGAGGCGGGCACTCTGGACGGCAGACGCGGACGACGACAGTCAGATCGGCGTCGAAATGCCGATCTCCATCGCCGTCCCCATCCTGATCCCCACCATTCCACCACCACAGTTCGGGATATGCCCCTCCAAGCTTGGAGGGAAGAGCCCGTACCCCCATCTAAGGGGGCGTAGATCGGCCGGTGGGGCCCAGGCCACGCCTGTGGGGATAGGGATCGGTTAAACGATGCTCAGAAGATACTCCAGATTTCGTAATAAAAGGGAGGGGGTCTCAACCCTCCCAGACGAGAAGTTTTAGACCCCCCCCGTGGGAGAACCCTCCAAAACATCGTCCCCAGACCCCCCCAGGCCCTCCAAGATAGCCTGGAAGAGACCCCCCCGAAATGAGACCCCCCTCCCTTTATTACGAAATCTGGAGTAGTGGTGCACCTCAGAACGCGGGCTGAGCGGAGGTGTGGCACTACGGACGGCAGACGACGACGGACGACGGACGACGACGGTCAGAGGAGGGCGAGTTGAGACAGCGGTAGTTGGCTTCGGGTGGCCCCCTCGTCGCCATGGCTGGGCGCGGCTCGGAAAGCCGGTGCGTTTGGACCCCGGGAGGGGTCCGGGATCGATTTTGAGCTGCCATTGTTTCCATTCGCCCTGCTCCGAGACGGACGGCGGACGACGGACGAGGGCGGACGGCGGTCGGCGGTGGCGGCATCGGGGCGCGAGCGGCGCGGAGGCGGGGCACGACGGACTGCTCGGCGCGCGCCCGCTGGACCAAGCAGATCCAGAAAGGGGTGCAGAGCGACTGCTTCAAGTTCTGCCTCCTGGCGCGCCTGGCGCCCCTCCAGGCCGTGGGTCTGGGCGCCGACCACGACGGCGTCGACGGCGACGACGGCGGCAATGACCGCGACGACGACGACGACGATGACGACGACCGCCCGCGTAGCTTGGACCACCCAGATTGTACCACATAGCTTTCACCGCATAACGAATAACGTAACATCAAGTCTCATATAGTTTGCACCACGTAGATATTGCTTCACACAGCCTACACATCCAGAGTGCAATACCTCCCTGTTCGGGGTCCACGCTGGCAAGCATTTGGTTTCATGCTTTCGGAGGGGGCACGATGTGTACCAATCCTGGCCAGGTCCACCCTGGGCACATGATGGTCGCATATGCGCTCGTGGCCTAGCCAGCCAAGGACTCAGCCAAGCCTGGGCCCACGACTCAGCCTGGCCATCCATTGGGCTCGAACGCTCCCCCCAGCCTTCAGAACTGATGAAGGAAGCTGCCTCCAGAATGGATGGGAACGAGCTCCTGGAGAGGAGGGGAAACTCTTGGCCGAACGGATCCGTGTGCGTGTGCGTGGTTGCAAGCAACGCCCTTGAACAAGGGCCTCTTCGGATCCCGAAGGGGTTCGGTGTTCTTTCAGGTCCTTCCTTGTGTTTGAACCTGTGGCGCTCCAGGTCCCCCCTGGAGCCCCCCCCCCCGCGGCGTGCGTGTGCTCCCGGAACAGCCTCCAAGAGGCGCCGAGCATGCCCTGAAAACGCCTTGGGTCTCGATCCATGGATCCCTCGATGATTCCCGAACCTCGCTTTTCGAATCCCTCGAATCCCTCGATCTAACGATCCCCGAGTCCTCGAATCTCGTTCTTCGTTCCTCTATCCTTGATCCTCGATCCTCGATCCCTCGATCTCTCGACCCCTCGACCCCTCGATCACTCGATCCCTCGATCCCTCTGGAGCCTCGGCCCCCCGAGCCTCGAGCCCCGAGCGTGCTCGGGAGCCCCGAGCCCCCGCGCTCGATCCCCGAAGGGGGGGGCCCCGGGCGTCCAGAGGAGGAGGGGTGACGATCCTCGAGCCCTCGAGCCCAGGAGCCCTCGAGCCTCGATCCTCGAGCCCTCGAGCCCTCGAGCCTCAAGCCTCGATCCTCGAGCCTCAAGCCTTGAGCCTCGAGCCCTCGAGCCTCGGTGACGATCCTCGAGCCTCGATCCTCGAGCCCTGGAGCCCTCCGTCCCTCCGGCCCTCGAGCCTCGGCAACGCCCAGGAGCCCCTTAGCCGCCGTGCTCGATCCCCGAGGCGGGGGGGGGGGGGACGTGGATGCCGCCAAGACGCTGGGAACAATTGACCACTGGGGCTCCTCCTTAGGCCGTTCCTTAGGTTCCCAGGAGGAGGAGGATGAGGAGGAGGAGGAGGAGGAGGAGGAGGAGGAGGAGGAGGCACTGAGGGGCTCAGGTCTTCAGGCCGCTCCTCAGAGCCAGGTCGGGGAGCCCACTTGTGGCCGAGGCTGGCCCTCGGCCTGGAAGGCCCCTCCGTCCCAGGTTTGACGTTCCCCATAGTAGCGTGCTGATTGCAGGCGGGGGCGTCTAAGAGGGGGAGGGCGATGACCACGGGGCGGTGGTGGACACCTTGGCCATGGCCACGAGATTCCAGGGCTCATGCCCCGCGTTTCTTCGTCTTCTTCGGCTTCTTCTGCTTCTTCTGTTAATTCCCAACCCTCCTATGGTTGGGTACTCGTTTTGAATCGAGCAGTGTGGTCCCCCCGTCCTCCTCCTCCTCCTTCTCCTCCTCCTCCTCCTCCTCCTCCCCTCTCCTCCCCTCCTCCTCCTCTCAAGTTTCCTGTGTTCCCTTCTCCTCTTCTCTCGTGCCGTATGCGATCTGCGCAACTGTCGCCACTTTCGCGGGCTCCTGGGAGGCCCAGCGGAGGCACGTCCCACGCGGACCACCTCGGGGCCTCGCCGCCCCCTGGGGGGCTTGCGATCTGCGCAACTGTCGCCACTTTCGTGGGCTCCTGGGAGGCACAGCGGAGGCACGTCCCACGCGGACCACCTCGGGACCTCGCCGCCCCTTGTGGGCTTGCGATCTGCGCAACTTTCGCCACTTTCGTAGGCTCCTGGGAGGCCCAGCGGAGGTACGTCCCACGCGGACCACCTCGGGATCTCGCCGCCCCCTGGGGGGCTTGCGATCTGCGCAACTGTCGCCACTTTCGTGGGCTCCTGGGAGGCCCAGCAGAGGTACGTCCCACGCGGACCACCTCGGGACCTCGCCGCCCCCTGGGGGGCTTGCGATCTGCGCAACTGTCGCCACTTTCGTGTATTTGCCTCGCCCAGCGCAGTGCGCTGTTGTATTGAACGCGCTGTTCTGTCGTAGCGCGCATGGCGCTGTTCTGCCCCGCGGGTGTAGTGCGTGGCGTGGCCGAGTTAACCCGATGTTCTGGTTTAGCCCTCGCCGCCCCCCGCTTTTGTGTTCCTTTCAACGCCCTTGTGCTTCCATTTTGTGTGCTGCTCCTCTTCTTGATACTCTCTTCTGATTTCGCTCCTGAGTGCTCTTCTTGCGTTCTGCGAGT